GGAGATTTCATGATTTCTTTGTTTAAGGAACCAGGCACTGTCTTCAGTTTGGCTAATCCCATACTCATTGCTTTTCCTGCTTTTCAAGGATCTACAATAGCAGTGGATTGCGATTGCTGGACGTTTATGGTAAAAATTTCACTCCTACTGCCTTACTGAAAATTCAGCTTTGCACATTTGGCCATAAAACAGCATTTTTGCAGACGCTTTGCTCGTTGACGTGCGCCTATTTTGCAGCCGGCCGCATAAAGGAAACAAGGGGCATCTTAAACGAGGTATCCTGCACTTTTCTGTTTTATTATTGCTGCACTGAAAAAAATTTTCTTTTAACACTTTTAAAACCTTCGTTTTCACTATATCTTAAAAGGTGCTGGAGCTGGAAAGTAGTTCGAGTGATAGCATTTACCTTTAGACATGGCTCTTTTTGGTTCCTTCATGCATAAGTTATTTATAAGGAAGCCGAATTTGCTTCCTCAAATTCGCCAGTACTAATCGTGAAAATGAACGAACTTACAGCTGAGAGACTTGTGAAAACGTATATGACTCAATGGACCGAAACGTCTTAGCTCACTTTTACCTCCAACCTTCACAATCCTTTCTTGCTTTTGCGCACCCCATCGTCTGCCCTTCCAGGATTGACCTGGAAGCTGCAACATATTTAGCTGTTTCATACGTCGAGCTCGAAAAAGTACTAATCGCTATTGCAATAGTCGCGGGCGGTATTGATGTTTTATTGAGTAATATGATCACGAAAACTATGTGTAATTTAAGTGTAATGGCAATTAAGATGAGGGAGTGGGGGGCGGGGCAGTGGGAAAGGGGGAGGGGGATGGATACCAGTACTATCGTATGAATTTGCATACAGTATAGAAGTTACAGCGCGCGTGATACCTGAGATATATGACTCCCACGTCGACGGAAGGGATCAGTGATCTATATTTTCTTTGTCCTTTATGGCATATTAATGTTAAAAGAAAACTGTATAAATGTTATTCGAAAATATAAGAAAGGGTGATAGAAAAAGTAAAGAAGGGAGATAGAAAAGATAAAAAGGGAAGATGTGGGGAAGAAGTATTATTAGGTAAGAAATGTTTCGGTCCATTAAGTCATATAAATTTCTTACCGTTACCACAGTTGGACCTCGTCAGTACGACTGTGGTAACAATATATTTTTTAGTTAAGAATGAAAAGTAATTGAGATGGGAAAGATATAAATGATGGTAATAATGCATATGTCTTTTGGACCCATTAGTACTGTCGGACTGTTTAGGGGACGGTAGTGTGCCTTCCAGTGACTGCACTACTGCGTCGCTTCTGTGGACGTGTAGTTTGCCTTAGCCAACTAGCGGGACTGCATAGGTATACGAGCCAGTAATGACCGGGGACGCTGACCAGGGAGACGGCTGTGTAGGACGACTTACTTTATTAACAATACAACAATAACAGTAAAACATTCCTT